TTTTTTTTTTTAATTCTTCTAGTGAATAATGACAGAATGATCTACCATTCAAAATGTAGCTGGTACTGATGGTGCCATTATAATATTTACATATTAAATTGTGATTGGTCCTTGAAATATGATGACAATTTAAAATAACTATTTTCTATTGGAACATATTTTCATATGCAGTTTATTTCTGTAATGGCAAAGCTGAATTTTCAGCAGCCATTACTCCAGTCTTCAGTGTCACATGATCCTTCAGTAATCATATGCTTATATTCTGCTCAAGCAAACTTTCTTTCTATTATCAATTCAAAAGAACTGCGTTTATTCATAACAGACATTCTTTGTAACATTATAAATATATTTACAGTCACTTTTGATCAATTTAATGTATCCTTGCTCAATAATAATTATTAATTTCTTATTGCAAATTGGTGCATTGATTTATTCTCAACATTTCTATTTAAGTATTTTCATCTATAAATACAAATCTAGTTAAATGAGAATATAACAGGACTGGAACCACACTTAAAAATGTTAATTTGTTGTGTCACATCAGCTCCTGGAAATTTAACCAATCCCTAACCCACCACCTGAGGAAAATGTGATTTCACCCACGTGCGTCGCACTGTGGATTATAGAGTGTGACCTTGTCTGCTTTGCCATCTTGTCTACTGCAACACTTTAGAATGTCAAGGCTCACTTATGTTAGCTTAGTTAGATTGTGAAAACAGCATCGGCCGTATTAACCTTCCAGGACCCTGAATGCATACATGTGCCTATGAAGTACATGCATTATTCAAAGTCTAGAAGTAAATACAGTACAGACTACACTTTGCCCTCTATCTGTTCTAATTGGACATAACAGATTAAGGTTTTCTAAGATAAATGGCCTTTTCCCTGCCCCTTTGGAATAAGTTTATCATCAACCCTAACACACACACATACACACAATGTGTGAGACAACATCACTGCAATGTTTTGTGTGGTAAAAGTACTGGATGTTCTAGAAAGATTACAAACCCTTAAGGGTTATGCATATTCAGGGCTAAAGGGAATCAAAAAAAATTTAACTTTTACTTTATTGCAGTTACAGCATGGACTTGTGGAACAAATGTTTTTTAGTGGGCATGCTGCTGCTTGTGTGTTTGCATAAATCTGGAATTGAGTGAACAGCTTCCCAGATGTTAGATAACAGGCAAGATCAGGCATTATAGGAGAACTGTGCCATTTTTTTCTTTATTAGTACGACAATTATAATTTATGCAATCTAGGTAAGTAATATATTGAATTGTTTATTAGTTCTGATGTTAAAAAAAAAGTTCAAAAGTTTGGGGTCAGTAAGATTTTTACGTTTAAAAAAACTAAACAAAAAAATAACATTTGCTCTGCAAAGATACATGAAATTGATCAAAAGTGACAGTAAAGACTAATAATGTTACAAATGAATTTTATTTCAATCTGTTTTTTTTTGTACTTAAAAATATTAAGCAGCACTGTTTTCAACATGGATAATAATAATAAATATTTCTTGAGCACCAAATTAGCATATTAGAATGATTTCTGAAGGATTTTTTGAACAGTAGTCTAAGATTTTTGTTTATCCAAAACATGACTGCATCACATAATGACACAAGCAGTGGAAAGGCGAACTGTCCTCATCATTGATTAATGCCACTCAGAAGTCAGGTCATTACTTTCCTCAGGAACCACAGCCAGTTCCTGGAAAACCACAGAGCAACTACCCTGTAATTATCTAAATAAGACCAAGCCCACAGTCCAATGCTAATATACGCACATCTGGTTAAATACATAAATGCTTTGTTCCCAGACAATCTCATAAATTTGCAGCCATCATTTTTTTTTGTTACTATTAACGGTGACAGTGAAATTCCCTAGCCTCTTTAAAACACAAACGGACATGTGCTAATGCATATGAAGAGTCTTCATGTTATATGCTCAACTACTTATACTCTACTTAATGACCTTGTACAGCGTATAAGGTTGGTTGTTTTCAAAGTTCTTGAATCACTTTCCCATCTGCCATTTGTTCAAACAAATAGAAAGCCCAGCCCAGAACTCATTTCATTAGATGAGTTACTGTGAATACGATTTTTGATGGCATAATAGAGTCAGATCAACTTATGAAGGGTTTCTCTCCAAATTAAGATGGGTTGAAGAAAGTATTTTAACACAGAAAAAAAATGCATGCATCACCTTTAAGATTCTGTTACATAGGAAATCTGATGGCGATCCAAAATGACGCACTGATTTCAAGATGTAAACCATCAAGAGATGATGAGAAACACCCGTCAAAAGCATTCTTTAACATCTCTCTGAACCATAAAAGAGTCTCATGGAGAGAAACTTCATACTTCACATTTCCGTATGCTGTTTAACAACATCAAGGTACTTCTCTCACTTTCACATGACATCAACAAAATCCACATTCTCATCCCCTCTATCAGTCTGCACAAAATTAGCCTTTCTTCCTTTAAAGAGGATCTCAAAGCCTGCTTACAGTAGGTGGCTTGCTAAATTGGTTTGCCAAGTGTGAGGAATCTGTGATCAAAGTATGAAAAACAAAGTCACAAAAATATTACATCAAAGAATAATAGCCTGACAAAATGACAGCGGAAAAGGTCATCTAAGGCGGATTAAAAAAGATGCAAATAAAGCTGCATGTCTTGTTTACTCAGCTCCCTTTTCCAGTCAATCAAAACTGAATTTATGAGCAAATCACATTGTCTTCATTTTCCACCAATGTCATTGTTTTAGTGTTCGCATGTCATCTACTGCATGCAGATGAGTTCAACTTTTTCCCCTAAAACAAATGAAAAAGGAAATTAATTGAGCCATTATTCAAGGAATGCTGAGAGCAACACCGGCAGTCACATGATTGTACTCTTGAAAAGCTTATGAGAATCAAAGAGCACTTAATGCAGAGATACATCTTTTACATCTAACTGCACTCTCAAAGGCTGAAGTCAGATTGCAGTTAATAGCTCATGGTTATAGGGTTCCCTGGGAGTACTTTGCAATTTTGTGACAACTGCAGATTCCTTGAGCAAACCAGTGCTTTAAGTGTCATTTGGAAAAACCACAACAATTTAGTTAATCGTTTAATGGTAGAGGAATATGGTACTGGCAGATCTATGTCCCTTTAACTTCTAAAAAGTCAATTTACATGAACATCTAACAGTTTTAATTTTGTCTCCAGTCAAAACAACAATCTTATTAGGCAATTAAAACAACTATTCAAAAAACACAAAAGTATAAATGTCTCTACAAAAGAGTGACTAATACTGAAAATACAACAGTGATTATGAAAGGGGAAAATGATTCTTACATGCCCACAATTTGGTACCAAAAACTGTAATGACAGGAAAGGTCAACAAATCACAATTTGAAATATTTTTACACAAGATTCACTTTTGTATTTTAGTGTTCTCTCTTGAATGGAGCCATTCTCATAAGAGTCTATAGTACATAGTAAAAGAACAAAAGATGCTCTGGTTTACAAAAAAAAAAAAAGATAAAAAAGAGGGACATCCTTATGTTTCCTGAAATATTCTTTCTGAATTATTAATGAAAATGTCTGATTTCAATTCAGTGATGAGTAGGCAACGGAGTGCTGGTTTATGACACAGTGTAATTAATGTCTTTGTGATGTTATTGAGGAGAATGTCCATGGCACCACAAAACTGTCCTTGGTTTGTTGAAAGTGGTTGCATAGTCAAGCTCCTTTGATATTTTTAAGTTGTGTTAAAAAAAAGCAAAGAGAAAAAATATATAAAAGAACACACCAAATCCACTTGTTTCACAAGTAATAGCAACCTCAGTTCAGGCTCTCTAGTTATTCTGGAATACCTCATTTTCCTGAACCTGCACAGCTCTATACGTTCACTCACATGCAGAAAAAGATTTGAGAATGTACATACAGTACACATGTTGTTCGCAAACCTCCACATACACACAGAGAAGCAAGACTGTGTCCAGTTTTTATCCAAATATTCCATGCTATCATAGGGCCAATGGAAACTTCTTCATGGGTCAATTCTTTATGGATTTGCGAGCCCAAAACGAATGGAACCGCAGACTTAGATAAGTCAAGATAAAAAGATATCCAGCACTGGGTTTCATTAGTTTGCAACGTCAGGGTAAAAACTCTTTCGCTCATTTATGCACAAAGCAAGAAATATTTCCCTGGGTGAGTCTGTTGGGGGACCAGTGTTACTCTCTCCCTGGGACTGCTTTAGTCTGAGTCATTTTTACACACACAGCTACACTCCTCATGGTGCTCCAGGGGGACATCCGTTAGAGTCTTTTGCAGCCGCCGACCCCCTGCCCTGTGTTTCAGCATCAGAACCTGCACAAGCAGAGACAAATATAGAGACAGATGGAGATAAACACACACACGCTCATACACACAGAAATGATTTAAGCACTCATAACATCACATCACTTCATTTAAACCCAATGAGTCTCATTCACTAACCATGTGTACATAAAAATCATGATTTAACAACGAATTTGCACTACATTATTTCTGAATTCTAGAATCAACTCAAAACAAGTGTGCTAAAAGGTACTAAATATATTTAAATATATATATATATATATATATATAGCTATTATATCTTATATTATAAATTACAGAAATATTTAAATGATAAACAGATATAGTCGAAATATTTATATACATATACACACACACACATATACATATATATGACAGACCCTACAGACAGTAAATCCTTATTATAGTGGTATACCTCTTTGATATGAAACAATGTGAAATAATCAGCATCACAACAAGGTTAAGATTGTAGACTGTAAATGGCAGAAATGTTATGTGAGATGCATCTTTTTTATGCATATAAGAACACTTGCACACAGTTATTAGTAAATGAAACTTAATACGTGAAATGTAGAGTGTAACAGAAGGCCTTCTGTTCTGTGCTATACCTCATGGTATTTTTTGGCCACTTTGGTGGGAGAGCACTGGCAATCATAGCAGTTGTGAGAGCAGCATGCACAGTTCCCTCCACAGCGCTTCACCAGCAGGCAGCTGGGCCAGAAGATGGCGTCCGTCCTTTTCAACTCCTCACGCAATGAGACGGAGAAGTTCCGTGGAGTGCAACTGTAAAGCCGTACCTCCTCACGAAGCAGGTTCAGGTCCACCACTCCTGCTCAGACAAAAATAGTCAGCAGCAGGTTTAAAAAAAAAAAAGGTTCCAGTATTTAATTTGACTCAAAGCACTTCTAAATACAGGATCTTCACCTCTGGATTTCTTTTGGTGGAAGAATGATTTGCCCACCACCTGCCAGGTAGGCTTGTAGAGGTCATCCATGTCCACCTGCCAGCGATCCGGCTCCAGGTATTTCATCACTTCCTCCATCGTGCTGAATCCAGCAACAGCTTCACTCAGAGCATCCACATTCTGCATCCACGCAGGCATCACTGCAGGGGCCTCATGCTCTGACTGTCTCTGAACAGTAAACAAAACAAACAAACAAGAAATCAGTAGTACTGAAGCCACTCCAAACGGGTCATTTCATTTTAAACAGGTGATTTTAAAAATGTTCCACAGAAGTCTTAGAAGTTTATTTATTGTTTAATGCTTTTTAATTTCACACAATTAGCTGTGATATGTGAAGAAAACAAGGTAAGTATCACTTAAGCGCAGACTGAGCATAATTAAGTAACTGAAAATTAATAATAATTAAGGAGAAACTGAAATTATATATCAATGTATTATGAGTTTTTATAATGCAGAAAATACTAGAAATGAAATTAGCCTTTTCAAGATGAAAGATTTTCCCCAAATTAATATATAAACAGAATAAAATTAACTTTTTAAACTCATACAGACATAACATATGATATTGAAAACTTTATCTATCTATCTATCTATCTATCTATCTATCTATCTGTCTATATGTCTATCTATCTATCTGTCTGTCTGTCTGTCTGGGATTTCCCCCCCCTGAAATAATATATATTAGAATAACATTTACTTAAAATCATATACATAAATAACATTTTATTTCCGCCCCCCCCCAAACCATCAGAAGATAACAAATGCGATTTTGTATTACTAAATTACCAGTTAATAAGGGAATGCATAGTTTTGCTTGAGTTAATGTTTAACATTGGCTCATGCACAGAATCAATTAACCAGTCCCCAAACAGCTTCACCCTGTTTGAACTCGAACACACAATTAAAAATGTATGCCAGGGCAGCAACACTGATACCTATGGTGTTGGGCAACCTGCAGGAAGCTACATTTCTGCACTCAGTTCAACTCTGCTCCACTGCCTCAGGTGCTGTGGGATCTGTCAACATGTCCTTTTTCCAGCAGCTTAATTCAAGCATACTAACATAACCCCCCTATGAATGACACGTTCAATGCTGCATTCTAAAACCAGGTAACAAGTGAGGAGTGAGTTGGCACGGTTACCACTGTGTAAAGGACAAGGTGTCAATGGAAGGACTGTGATTTTCTACTGTGATAAAAAAAATGTATTGCTACCGTGAACAAAGCGGTAAATGAGGTCACCAAGACTGACTGATTGAGGGCAAGCACTGGGAATAATGCAGTGCCAACCTGTTTGTCAGTACAAGAATACTGTATGTGGAGTAAACTTAGGCGTCCCACAGAGGGGACGGGTGACAGTTAAAGGGTTAAGGAATTAAAACATACTTTAGTATTCCTTAGTTTGATGTAACTAAAATATTTTATTGGAAGAAACCCAAATATATACTTAAAAATGAATGTGATGAGTGAAAGCACCAGATATCTCAAAATAAAACAAAGACAACAAGTGTTTCATTGCCTTATCTTCATTACTGCACGCAAAAACAAAGACTGCGACTAGCTTAGTGAGATTTACAAATGCATGACTCTTATGAGCCACTTATTTTATTGTCATTTGAATTGTTCAAGGTGACCCATTTGAATCATTCTAATGAACACTTGAATTATCATCTGACTCGCTGAATAGCAAGTCACTATAACTTCCACTCATGCCTGACGTGAACTAATATTATAGTGTTGTGTACTTTAATATATCTTAAGTCATAATTCACTGGAGATGTAAATCAGCTGCATACATCAAAATGTTTTTAATCATTTTTTTTTTTTGTAAGCTCTGGAGCAGTTAAAATGACCTCCTAAAAACTTGTACATTCAGCTATCCTTCAATACAGAAAGCTGGCCTCCAGTTTTGGCATCGGTCAGCAGTGGGGAATGGAAACCATTAACAGCTTGTGAATGTGAGGCAGTCTTTCAATCTGTCAATTAAAGATCCTCTGAGCCCTGGACTATAAAGCCAGAGCCAAGCATCCCTACCGAAGTGGATATAACAGCGCTTGTGCAACCTTCGCTCACAAGATAAAACAAAAGAAATTCAGGAGAATTTCAGACTTAAAACATGAAATCATGCATTTAAATTCAACATATTAAAAGAAACAAATGACAATTTAATACTTTCCCCAAACCTTAGATCTCTACTACAGGTATAAAGACTTTAAAATGAATCAGTCACTCAGTAACTGATGTCATTACAGAAATGCAATATTCACAGTAAGACATTCATGTCATCATATTTCATAACTGATGCATTGATTAAAGCCAAATTATAATCCGCAAAATTATGGCCTCATTTATGTTCTGTAGCCTGACAATATGATGTTTCAAATGGTGTTGGTTGTAGGTTTCTGGCTACAAGGAAACAAGGAAAATGGCTTAACAGATGGACATGAGCGCACAGACTCAGATGTCTGCCAGTAGCCTGTCAGAACACACATGAGAGCAGACAGCTCTCAGCTCTGTAGAAAACCAAATAACAGTGCAGAGGTCTCACTCAAAAATTTGGGTGATTCACTGTGGATGTTACTTGTTGAAGGCCAAGATTGGTGGCATGCCAATCATACACAGTGGTTGTAAGAAGAGGAGAAGAGAAATTAAGTGACTGGAAGGTCTCACTCAAAAATTTGGGTGATTCACTGTGGATGTTACTTGGTGAAGGCCAAGATTGGTGGCATGCCAATCATACACAGTGGTTGTAAGAAGAGGAGAAGAGAAATTAAGTGACTGGAGTCATTTTCACACATCTAAATCTGAATTTTGAATAGACATTGTATTTGAAATGATACGCCTTATGTAATTCAGTAATCCTTGTGGTTGTCCTGAACTAATGCTGCTGAGAAGAAAGATCCGGCCAACAAAACCATCATCTACAATTACTTCAAAAACAAGTGGCAACTAAAAAAGGTTCTTACACACAAGTGCATACTGTGCTCACACTGCATGTTAAACTCGTTCTTTTGAAGAGAAGCAGTTCCTAATTTAAAATGTTCATAAAAAAACCTGTCCTGAACTTAGTTTGGCCTCAGCAACCATGTCCCACTTTTGGTGCCTATGAAACCTGTTACTCTGCTTGGAAAGAAACATCTCTTGCCTTTGTTCTAGACTATTTTGGTAAATTTAATGGCAGTAAAGATTGTACAAAGCCAGTGGCAATCTGTAAGCACACGCACAAGGCATTCAAGGAGGAAAACATCTATGAAATCCAGCTGGGAGCTAAAAGCAGCAGTCTAGTTCCTCTGATTTTCGTGAGAATCACAATTTTTTTCTTATTTCCAGAGCTAGGTGCTGTTTTAATGACCTCTTCCCTCAACCCCTAACCAGCTCCCAAAGTCTCTTCTTGAGAATCGCAGCTGGGGCTCATTTTCCCCCTTCTCTCTGTGGTAGTGGTGAAGGGGAGTGATTGCTTGTTTAAACAGAAAGCGCAGGGGTGTCCCCGTGATCCCGGTTTTCCAGTAGCTGAGGTTGACCACAGAGAAACAGAATTCGGCTGTTCCAGTATGGCAGCCCATTGCCACTGCGTACAAAGCCAACAGCCAGCCAGCTAGGCCACTAATTTCCTCAAGCTGCATCATAAGAGGGAACGAATGCAGAACTTTCAAGCAGAAGATCTGAAGCACTCATTTAGCTTAGCATCAATAGACGGGGAAAAAACCTGAGCTATAAATACAGGTAGAGTAAAGACTATAATAACATGAGAAGTGCACTGGATCTGGGAACAGTCAGGCGAATTAACAGTTCCACATACCACATTCCAACATACTCTGAAATTGTATTTTTGTGTTTGCCTGGCATTTAACAATGTATCATGCATATGCTCACATTTGTAATGTCAAGATAGCACACAACCACAATAATTGTAGGACTGTAAAGCAATGTTTCATTAAAAGAGCAAAAAAACTTATTTTTGGTTTGTTGAAGACCTTCTGCCACACACTCCCTGACATTTTATGGTAAGACAATATTTCAAACAATTTGACTCAAACAGGCGCACAGCACAACACTCAAGATGTAACTCCTGACCACAAGTCTCCTGAATACAAATGCTTTAGTGAGCAAGAAAACAAAGAATGTGCAATGTGAGTCAGGGCTGGAATTGTAGGTTCCAGCTCAACATCCTCCTCCACAAACACTATAAATAGAGCTTGATTCAGCCACAACTTCTCTGATGCGAGCTCAGTGTCCAGAAACCAGCTATAACACACCACCTCCTCTGAAATAATAGAGCACTGCTCAAAGAAAAACACACCACCTAGTATAAAGAGTAGAGAATGTACCCATTTACACATCATTATACATGCAAGCATACTTCATTTTATATCTGAAAGCCAGAAATGAACGTCATCTAGGGAAAAATCCCTAAAAATAACTAAACTAAAAAGCACCATTTCCATGCAACTGATCTGTGCCATTGTTAGAAGATCTCCTTAAAGCCAAACCGATGTCCTTTTACTGTTGTCAGTTTTGGAGCCAGAGATGAGCTAAAACAATTTCATGCATTTCCACCCCAGAAAAGGCCGGAAAAACGGGCTCTTTACTGGCACTTACCAGAGAACTGTTCAGCGGCTAGGAAGTTGGGATAAAGTCCAGACCACAAAAAGATTTAAAAAAGGACAACAACTCAGTCTTGCAAGAAGGAAACAAAACAAAAATTGACCACACTAAACTAAACAGTCCCAATTCTAAATCAAAGAATTTCACTACTGTTCAGATTTTTGGGGCCAGTACGATTTTTAAAAAGTTGATTGAAGTTGAAAATGATTGAAAGAAGTCTCTTATGCTCAAAAAGGCTGCATTTATTTGATCAAAATACAGTAAAATCAGTAATATTGTTAAATATTACACTAACAAAAAACAAACAAACAAAAAACTGTTTTCTATTTGAATATATGAATATATTTTAAAATGTAATTTATTCCTGTGAAGGCAAAGTTGGATTATTTGATGAATACTAAGTCCAAAAGATCAGCATTTATTTTTCAAATAGAAATCTTTTGCAATGTAACAGTCACTTTTGATAAATTTAATGCATCCTTGATGAATAAAATAATTAATTTCTTAAAAAAAACAAAAAAACAAACTTACTGACCCCAAAACCTTTCAACAGTAGTGTATAACT